CTTCTCGTAAGGGGGGGGAGAGTGTAACACCCCGTGTACGGCCTTCAATCCCTGATTAATTATTTAATTAATCCCGTTAATAATAATTAAATATGATTTAATTCGGTTAGGTTTCCCTTTAATTAATTAATAAGGCCCACCATGAACCGTGGGCCCTTGCCTAAATTAGAGCCTTAAGCCTATTAGGAATAAAGAAAGTAAACCTTTTACTATTCAGATTTTGATTAGGAATCCTAGACCTAGTTATCTATTAGGAATAAAGGAAGTAGGTCTTTTACTATTCAGATTATGATTAGGATTCTCGTTAATTAATTAATATGGCCCACTATGGACCATGGAACCCAATCCTTAGTCCCAAAAGGAATAGAATTAGCAAGCCTATAATATTAGTTCCTAATTAGGACTCCTAAATATATAAATAGGGAACTTAAGAGGCACCCAGAACCCCCCACCACAATAAACGACTCACCATCCCAAAAGAGCTCCAAGAATTCCCTTAGAAGAAATCAAGAAAGCAAGAAAGCTTAAAGAAAGACCCTTCATAGCCAATGAATTAATTAAGGCTAAGAGGTAACCCATGTCTCAACAAAACCTATTTTCATAGCTATGATTCCCCCTTAGGGTTTCCCCCATATTATTGTGTATTGGCGAGATATGATGATTATTATTGATGTTTGATGTGATGATTCCATGAGGGATCTTGATGATCTTAATATTGGGAGATTCTTGATGATTATGGAATTCTTGATGATTATATAGAGTTCTTGATGATTATGTGTCGTTCTTGATAATTGTGTGATGCTCTTGATGTTTACGTGTTATTCTTACCGAATCTTGCAATTAGAAGACGAACCGTATTCTTGTTGATATAAAAGTGACTAGAACCCTAGGTTGTATCGTATGATCTTATTCTTGGATTATCGGGTGGGGAAATCGCATGCTTGGGTGTTGATTTTATTTAGAAAAGCATGATAGGTTATGTGCCGTTCGTTTCTTGTATTCGATTCGTTAATTGTCTACGTGTTGTCGTTGATTGCGTTGTAAAGTGTCTAAGCATGGTTTCGGGTTCCACAACGGTTCCCGGGGCGTAAAGTGTGTGAAAAGAGTCAGTGGGGGGTAGGTGGGGGGTAGGGGACCCGCCACCTACCCGGTGCCGAGAAACACCGCCCGGCAGCGGGTGGCCGGCGGGCGGGCAGCTGCCCGCCGGCGACCCGCTGCCCGGAACAGTAAAACCGGCGGGCAGCCGGCGGGTGGCCCCCCCACCCACCGGCTACCCGTTGGAAATTCGTCCCACCCGGGATCCCGGCTTCCCCATTTGATGTTCCCCGTTCCCCGTGGTGTCCCAACAGACTCCGTTTATCGTGCCTATGTCTAGTTGGATATTTCGGGTACCGTTCGTAGGTTTACGAGTCTACTATATTGCATGCTAGTTGGATTGGTATCCCGTTGACCTAGGTGGAAGGAGTATGAACCCCTTAGGACTATTCTTAGTATGTGAAGGATCACGCATAGGTTTTGTTATACGCTTTCTCCCCCTTCCCAATGTGCAATGTGGGTTGCATGTGCTTGCTATGTGTTATGTGTGTGTGTTACCCCAATTCGGTTGCGATCGGATTGGTTATCCTGAGCTGCGGTCAGATTGATACGCTTGGGCTGCGGTCCACCGTTTGGTTGCGATCAAACGTTTCTATACGAGCTGCGGTTCGTCCTTTTTCCTGGCTGCGGTCAGATGACATCCTCTTGGGCTGCGGTCCACTGTTTGGTTGCGATCAAACACTATGATGAGCTACGGTTCATCGGTCGGTTGCGATCGACCCCTCCGTGTTGCGATACGGGGCAGGGTGCTGCGGGGCCGTGTCAGAGCTATATGCGCTGACCCTCATGTATGGGCATGCGATTGGTCCTGTGGCGCCAACAAAGTGTGTTATGTGCTATGACATGGACGAGTTGTGATTACGAGTGTCTTGGGGGATGTGACTATGGGATTTATATTGGGGATTGTTCATGTTGGGTTATGATTATTGTTTATGCTTTGCCTTATCTGCCTTATCTGTTGTGAACTGCATATGCTCGTTATAACTGTTGCTTGTGTCTGGCCTTATCTGTTGAGTCATTCCCGGTTTTAAAGCTAGAGTTCGTAGGACATATCTTCATGCTCAAAATGGTTTTCGTATATCTATATATATCTCTATATGTATTGTATTTCAACGCGTTGGAGTGGGTTACCAGCACCTCTCGCTGAACAGATATATTTGGCTTTCACGCACAGAAGATTAAGTCACTGGAGTGCGCTAGAACTTAGAAGTAGATAGTTTCCCTTTTGGCCTGCGTGCCACGTTTACGTATTTACGCTTTGAGGATATTAGTTAGTTAGCCTGTGCACTTGGGTTCTCTAGCCCAGGTGTGGCATAGCACCCCGAACGCTTCTAATTATATCTTGGGATTTAATAAGATTCTACCTTTATTATAAGTTTTAAAAGTCTTGAAAATCTGGGGTGTTACAAAGATTCACACCATAACGAGTTCCAGGTCCACATAGGACACAATCACACCAAGTCATATACCGTGGGGTCAGCACCACGGCTCGATTCATAGGGGATCAGTGTGGAGGGCTCCAAATCATCAACGAACATGTATCACGTAGTCATCGAAACGACCCGGATCACATGCATGGTGTCATCGCAATTCAGAGGTCTTGGCTACAACAAATAGGGGGAGAAGTCAAACCAAGGGTCCAAGGAGTAAATATAAAAGCAGAGCTAACAGTGGAGGTAAATCTAACAAATTTGCTAATGTTCAATGTTATCACTGTCACAGAAAAGGGCATATTAAGAAATTTTGCCGACTATGGAAGAAAAAAAATCATAAAAATAAAGACTCTGAAAATAATAATGGTAGCGATGATGATAGTGTAGCTCCTACAGTTGAACAAGATTTTCTTATCTTCTATGATGGTGACGCAGATGCCATTAATTTTGCTAGTCATGATACAAACAGGGTAATTGACAGTGGTGCATCCATTCATGCTACAGGTCGAAAGGAATTTTTTGTTAGTTATACAACAAATGATTTTGGAGTTGTGAAAATGGGTAATGATGGTAATGCAAAGATTGTAGGTGTTGGCGATGTTCAGTTAGAAACCAATAATGGAACGAATTTGCTTCTGAAAAATGTAAAGCATGTTCCAGATATTAGAGCTTACAAGACTCTGATCTAACCATTTGTTACATGAAATTTATATGGTAAAAAAAATAAGGACTGTAACGCATTGGTGCCCTGAACCTAGGAACCTTCCCATATCCATAAGGAGTATAGAAGAAAGGATTGGGACCTCGTGGACGGAAATGCTTCATGCCAGGAATATTAGTTCGTTTTGCTGATACCTTTAGTTAGAGGCCATAAAGCTCAGACTCCTTCAGAAGAAGGGCATATTGAACAGCTTCTTGTTAAAGAAATTCAACGTAGGCATATCCCTTTGGTTGCCCAAACTTATTATTAAGGGTAGTAACTCTATTTACCGTACTGCAAGCCTGGAAGTGCTGCGACGCTTCCTCAGGGGTGCATGAGTATTCCACATTGCCAACAAAGAAATAACGAGAATCCACTTCTTCCCAATTCGATTGGCTTGCAGCAGCAGAAGCCAGTTGTTATACAGTGGACCATGGTCGTCAAATGAAACTGTAGTAGATTTAAAATGATACTCCAGTGTTGCCATAATGAAACTAGTTTGTGGAAAATGAAACTAAAACACAGAGCTCATTCAACAACGTATATTGTCAACTGAAATTACTTTAATGTTGTTATAATGAAACTAGTGTGTATGAAAGAAATAATTCTAAAATTTAAAGTTATACCATAACATATATTGTCATATGAACCTAGAATGTAATTAAAATAGTACTTTAATATTACTATAATTAAACTAGTGTGTGTGAAAAATGAAACTACAAAATAGAGCTCATGCAATAATGTATATTGTCAAATGAAACTGTACCAGAATTAAAATGAAACTTTCGTATTCCTATAATGAAACTAGTGTGTGTGGAAAATGTAACTAAAAAACAGAGTAATATTGTCAAATGAAACTAAAGTATAATTAAAATGATATTTACTTCATAGACCATACTGCTATATGCACCATAGTCCACAATAAAATTTGCCAGCAGAAGCAGGGCCTTAAACATCACACATTTCCTTCTGAACTTTTGGCCTGCATTTCACGGAGCGCCGCCACCTCATCTTCCATTTCCTTCAACCTTTTTTTCAACTCATCCAATTCCACTACAACTCCTGCCTCCGCCGCAGCGGCCATTTCCACGTTTTTAGTTCATTCACAAGTTTTAGTTGACGACTTTTTTTTTTGTTCATTTGATAGAAAAATTTGAAATATTAGTTGCAACAATTTTATAGCAAAGGGAGTGTTTGGAAAATGACTGATCAGTTATTTTCCAGTTGGTTTGACCAATTTTGACGGATCTTAGTCTTTAGTGGAAAAACATATATATTGGAATAGCTGATTAGGGCAATTTGCTTATTTTGTATCTGTTTTTTTTTTTTTTTTTTTGAAATTCCTTCTCTTGTTTCTGTCGTTAACTTCAAAAAAATAAATAAAAAAATTCTCTGTTTCGTATGTATAGAATTGTATAGTAAAATACACATAAACTCCTGACATAATACACATAATATAACATAATACATTATACACATAAACTCTCCATAATACACATAAACTCTTAACATAATACACATTAACTCTTAACAGGATACACATAAACTCTTAATAGAACACACATGCACAACAGTACTTAGTGCCTCAGCCTAGAATGTCTTTGGTAACTTTGCATGTGACAGATATTAGAGCATTCAAGACTCTGATTTATCCATTTGTTACATGAAATTTATATGGCAAAACCAAACCACATATCTTTGGAAAATCACTAAGTACATGGACAGATATTAGAGCATTCAAAACTCTGATCTATCCATTTGTTACATGAAATTTATATGGTAAAACCAAACCCTCGTAAATAAGGACTGTAACGCATTGGTGCCCTGAACCTAGGAACCTTCCCATATCCATAAGGAGTATAGAAAAAAGGATTAGGACATCGTGGACGGAAATGCTTCATGCTAGGAATATTAGTTCATTTTGCTGATACCTTTAGTTAGCGGCCATAAAGCTCGGACTCATACAGAAGAAGGGCCTCTTGAACAGCTTCTTGTTCAAGAAATTCAACGTAGGCATATCCCTTTGGTTGCCCAAACTTATTAGTATGGGTAGTAACTCTATTTACCGTACAGCATGCCTGGAAATGCTGCGGCGCTTCCTCAGGGGTGCATGAATATTCCACATTGCCAACAAAGACAGAACGAGAATCCACTTGCACCCTATTCGATTGCCTTGTAGCAGTAGAAGCCAGTTGTTATACAGTGGACCATGATCGTCAAATGAAACTGTAGTAGATTTAAAATGATACTCCAGTGTTGCTATAATGAAACTAGTGTGTGGAAAATGAAACTAAAAAACAGAGCTCATTCAACAGCGTATATTGTCAATTGAAACTGTAGTACAATTAAAATGATACTTTAATGTTGTTATAATGAAACTAGTGTGTATGAAAGAAATAATTCTAAAATTTAAAGTTATACCATAACATATATTGTCATATGAACCTAGAATGTAATTAAAATAGTACTTTAATATTACTATAATTAAACTAGTATGTGTGAAAAATGAAACTACAAAATAGAGCTCATACAATAATGTATATTGTCAAATGAAACTGTTCTAGAATTAAAATGATACTTTCGTATTCCTATAATGAAACTAGTGTGTGTAAAAAATGTAACTAAAAAAACAGAGTAATATTGTCAAATGAAACTGAAGTATAATTAAAATGATACTTACTTCATAGACCATACTGCTATATGCACCATGGTCCACAATAAAATTTGTCAGCAGAAGCAAGGTCGTGAACAGCACACATTTCCATCAGAACTTTGGCCTGCATTTCACGGAGCACCACTACCTCGTCTTCCATTTCCTTCAACCTCTTTTTCAACTCATCCAATTCCACGACAGCTCCGGCCTCCGCCACAGCGGCTATTTCCACGTTTTTAGTTCATTCACAAGTTTTAGTTGAGGACTTTTTTTTTTTGTTCTTTTGATAAAAAAAAAAAATTGAAATATTAGTTGCACGAATTTTATAGCAAAGGGAATGTTTGGAAAATGACTGATCAGCTATTTTCCAGTTGGTTTGACCAATTTTGATGGATCTTAGTCTTTAGTGGAAGAACTTAGATATTGGAATAGCTATTAGGGCAATTAGATTATTTTGTATGTGTTGTTTTTTTTTTTATAAATTCCGTCTCTCGTTTCTGCTGTTAACTTCAAAAAAAATAAAAAATTCTCTGTTACGTATGTACATAATTGTATAGTAAGATACACATAAAATCCTAATGTAATACACATAATCAAACATAATACATAATACACATAAACTCTTAACAGAATACACATAAACTCTCCATAATGCACATAAACTCTTAACATAATACACATAAACTCTTAACAGGATACACATAAACTCTTTATAGAACACACATAGACACAAGTGTTATAACAAACAAAAAATAAAATAAAAATAAAAACCTGTAACGGGATTGTTACGTAATACTTATAAAAACAACGTCGTTTTGGGTAAGGGCGCACAATGCATTGTGCATCCTGGTGCACGATATAATGATTGGAGGCAATCTAGGAGGTTTTTTGTTTTTTTTCCTTTTAAATCTCTAACTCACTTGAATAAATGACAAGCAAATCTCAGTAATAGTCTTCTAAATCCTCTCTATATTCTTTCTATATTACCATTTTAGGCATGCGAACTCATTTACTCCATGGAATTGAAGACTGGATTTCTCATCACCGTTCACCTCCCTTTCAGATAATTATACTCTATTTCACTTGCATTACCTTTATTTTTGCATCAATTTAAAAATGAAAGCGTAGATCTGAACATATATAGTTCTAGCATTTCAGGCAAGTGGACTAGTTTCCTCCAACCATGACCGATTTTTTTTTTTGGTCATTTTTCACCTTCCTTTTAGGTAATTATACTCTAGCATATCATGTGCATTACTTTTAATCTTGTAGGGGTACATGAAACAAACCCTAGATCAGTAAAGTTTTTTACTATTTCAGGCTAGTGAATTTATTTCTTTGTATCATCATTGCCCTGTTGCCCACATTCTTTTTAGGTAATTATATTTGATCAATTTAACTTTGCATTACTTTTAGTCATACACTCGTGCATATCAAGACCAAACCATAAATCTGTAAATTATTTCAATATTTCTACCATTTTAAGTAGGTGAACTCATTACTCCAAGGAAGATCAAATTTCTCATTGTTGTTCACATTCCTTTAAGGTAACTCTACTCTATTTTGCTCAATCTTGCATTGGTAAAGAGCACAAAAGCTAGATGTATAAGTGATTTATACCATTTTTGTTAGTGCAGTATCTATTAATTTGTTTTGTCATGATAATGGAAAGAAATTTAATCTAAGTTGTTTATATTTTTTACTATTTTGGATGTAAACCTATATATATGATCTTACATGCATATTTTTAATTTATTGAACGTTTGGTTGTGCAACATATTTATGAAAATGTTGTAACAATATTAAGGAATTTATTAGAATGAAAGGATATATTTGACTTGTGGTGCACTACGAATTAATAAATTCTTTACCAATAAATAGAGTTTTTAGTTTCTTCAAAATTGATCCTGGGCCACTTTGGTTGGTAAGCCTCAAAACAGTTTTGCAAGACGTATAAGTAAGACTCGTAATGTTCAGTTAATTTTGAGGTAGACCTTGAGATTATTTGCGAAGTTATGGTGTATGTTTAAGATTCCAAATTTATGCACTTAGAATTTTTGGTTTGTTGTCCAGGTTGTCCAGGTTATTGGAATGCTTCTGTGACTTGACTATCTTTTGGCTATTTTGATGAGTGGGAGAGACATACATGTCAACTCCAAGCTCTTAGCCGTTAGAGGTAGTGTTTTAGGTTAACTTATAAAGAAGTCATAGAATATAGTTAGCATTATGCTAACATTAAGAGATCTTTACTTAGACATGCTTCTAAGTTTTTAGAGATCATACAATGAATTTGGATGCATGGTTTCTTCTTTCAGTTGTGCACACAACACGTTTTGAGAAACATCCCTTAAGGGACTAAGAATAAACGTACTGTTTATTCATAAAGAACCTAAGTTAGGGAATTTAAATGCATGTGATCATAGAAGATATTACTCACTTGATAAGTAGAGGACATATTACTATGGTTCATGTATTTTGTTCCCTAGTGAAGGTTGTGCCAATACTTGCACCAAGTGGGAGAATATAAGTATTTTCCCTAATATAATACTCCGTATATTATAATATATTGTATTAATTAAGTGTCTATGGTGCAAGTAGAAGATTAAGTTAGTTAGTGATTTAATCTATTAGGCAACTTAGGATATTCCGTTTAGCTTTAAATGAATATCTGTCTACATTGATAGCATGTAGGCTTCTAAACAAAACAGTCATCCCACAGCTCCCGTATTCAGAACACACACACCATCCGGTATTCGGGAGAAAAGTGGTAGACAAAAACAAACATTAACATTTATTCTGCAGATTTATCATCCCGCAGCAAGACCAACAACTATGGCAAGGGATATTCAGACGGTCCTAAAGCTTCCACTATTACGAGGTTAGGTTCCTCGTTATTTCAGTTTATGTTAGTCTGATTTGTATTGTTATCTAACAAAAACAACTAGTATACTACAATAAACCAAGTTGGTGATGTGATATAAACTTACAAAATCAGAGCTTAAAGCCCAGTGCAAAGATAAGAGAGTCGTTGAGCACTGTGGTCCAACCACTTAGTCCAAAACATTGAACCGGACACTACGTACAATTAATTAATACCCCGTATATTGCAAGTACGACTTCTTCTCCGACCAACGAAGCCATTTCCACTTCTTTGTCATCTCTGGTTAGCTTCTTCGTCCCTCGGCTTCTTGCATCAGATGCCTTCGTAATGTATGGTTCCACAGTACTTCAACTCATTCTGTACTTCCCATTCATGTGAATTCCCAGCCCCATGTTAACACACCACATGCTTCTGGATCAGGCTGGGATTACAGGTCGCCCTCAACAGCTTCAGTTTTAGTACATTCTATGGGGCAGGACAAGAGGGTTTTGAGTTTGAGGAAAATAAGAATAAGCAACACTACTGTTTGTTGCATGCCAATCTACTCTCACAAATACAGCAACAACGTAATAGCCAAGTAGCCAAAGTGGTTAAGGGTAAGGGGGGTATCAAGAATAAAGTTCCACTTGCGTTTTTCGTATGCGCAATACATACGAGAAACGCAAGTCGTATGTACTGGCATGTGTTTGAGGCAAAAAAAAAAAAAATCATAAATTTGACAAACTCACCGTTTGTGAAGTTCAATGCAAGATTTGTGAAAGAATGGTGCTGAGTGTGTGCATCAATTGAAGATTCCCTAAAAGAATTTGACGACACTTTTTGTGTTTTTTGGTGAGAGGAATATATACTCATACCCAAGTCATTTTACATATAATCAACTAATAGTAAATAACTAATTTACCAAGCATATTTTTACAACCAGCAAATACTATCAACTGGTCAAATCAGCTAACTCAATCAGCTATTAACAGTAGGCTAACTCGATAAGCTATCAACTACTAGCTATAAGCTACGAGCTATCTGCCATTTCGCAAACACCCTCTTTGAAAACTAGGTCACTTGGTGGTGCTCGCTATTTTGATACCTTCAGTGATGATTACTCAAGGAAATTATGGGTTTATACTTTGACGCATAAAAGTCAAGTTGTGAACATATTCAAGCGGTTTCATGCCCTTGTTGAGAGACAAACTGGGAAGAAGCTAAAATGCATAATGTCAGATAATGGAGGAGAGTATATTGGGCCAATAGGTATTGCATAGAGCAGGATATTCGCAACAAGAAAACACCACCAAAGACTCCTCAGTTAAATGGTGTTGCTGAGAGGATGAACAGGACATTGATTAAGAGAGTTAGATGTTTGTTGTCACATACAAAGTTACCAAAGACATTCTGGGCTGAGGCACTAAGTACTGTTGCACATGTGTTGACTCTCTCACCATGTGCTCCTTTAAAGTTTGACATACCAGATAGGGTATGGACAGGAAATAATGTTTCCAATGATTATCTACGTGTCTTCGGACAGAAAACAAAATCATGATATTAAGCAAGCCAGATCAATCGCAGGATAAACATAATCAAGATACCCCAAATGCCAAGTAGACATACATGGACATATATTAGAGCATTCAAGACTCTAATTTATCCATTTGTTACATGAAATTTATATGCCAAAACCAAACCCTCATAAATAAGGACTGTAACGCATTGGTGCCCTGAACCTAGGAACCTTCCCATATCCATTAAGGAGTATAGAAGAAAGGATTGGGACATCATGGACGGAAATGCTTCATGCCAGGAATATTAGTTCTTTTTAGTTCTTTTTACTGATACCTTTAGTTAGCGGCCATAAAGCTCCTCCTCATTCAGAAGAAGGGCCTCTAGAACAGCTTCTTGTTCAAGAAATTCAACGTAGGCATATCCCTTTGGTTGCCCAAACTTATTAGTATGGGTAGTAACTCTATTTACCATGCCGCATACCTGGAAGTGTTGCGGCGCTTCCTCAGGGGTGCATGAATATTCCACATTGCCAACAAAGATAGAACGAGAATCCACTTCTTCCCTATTCGATTGGCTTGCAGCAGCAGAAGCCAGTTATTATACAGTGGACCATGGTTGTCTAATGAAACTGTAGTAGAATTAAAATGATACGACAGTGTTGCTATAATGAAACTAGTGTGTGGAAATTTAAATTAAAAAACAGAGCTCATTCAACAACGTATATTGTCAACTGAAACTGTAGTACAATTAAAATGATACTTTAATGTTGTTATAATGAAACTAGTGTGTATGAAAGAAATAATTCTAAAATTTAAAGTTATACCATAACATATATTGTCATATGAACCTAGAATGTA